AATATATATATATATATATATAAATATTTTGTTAGTTTATTTATATAAATATTTTTGTTCAGTTATATTCAAAAATATATTTTAGAAAATTATACATTTTTTTATTTTTTAAGGAGACTTTTTAATTGAGCTAAAAATCTCTTTTGAGTTGTTAGTTCCATATATCAAAAAAGTAAATTTAGATTTCTTTATTATTATATACACTCCGTTATATTTTTTATTCATCTGTTCTTAATTTTTATATCCGCCTATTCTTTCTCCCTAAAAAGGCGCGGTAGCTTTTTGGTTCACTCACACATTTGAGAAGGACTCTCGAGCGAGAGAAGGTTCCAATTAGCTATTCCTGTCTATGAATGTGTCTATGAATCGCGAGTTTGTGTAATTTCGTGAGATCAAGATGAAAATAAACGTTACACCCTTCGTTGCGTCGTATCTTGAGCCTTGAGGAACGAGCGTGCCACCAAGTGATGCATGCCGCGTAACTCATTCGTTTATCTCGAGTACTACAAAGTTGTACCTCATAAATCTCAAGAAGTACGCATTTTCGGTGAAATGGCACTAAAACGTTGCCAATATGTTAAGATCTCGGTTGATATTTGTCAAAATTTCAGATTTCTCGATATAACAGACTTTATTTTAACTTTATTAACAGAAAAAAGGAACATAAAAAGAGTCTTTGCCGATGTAATAAATTGTCTATTTTTTTATCTCGCAGATCAACAATTCTGCAAAGCAAAATTCCTTAACCTTTTCGTAATTGATCATTATTGGTCTTCATATTATTTTGATCCATTAAATGCAATCAAAGCAGAAGCGTTGATAATATAAGTGATAGGTACTGATAAAATCAAATTTAATTTTAATTAAGCTTTCACGATATCGAATTTCTCATTGAAAAAGAGTAAGAATTTGATAACTCCAATTCACCAGTAGGTCGCGGAAATATCCGTCATAAGCCCACAAACCGCTGATTCAACCGATACCTTTAGCAATAATAGTCTATTTCGACGATGTCAAAAGTTCCCAGTTTCCAATAAAGATCAGGAAACCGTATCATTCAATCATCCTCCATCCACGTCACATCGCCTTACTCTCAATTACCTCACGTATGTCTCCAAACGGATCGCACGTATATTGGTCATAGCAACGGTGATGAACCAAGTGTTTCAGCAAACGGAAGTTATTTCAAAAAAATGATTCAATAAGATCGTGCAGTGAGAAAGTTGCCCGAGGTCGTGGACTCGATTTGAAGAGCACTATATGTTCAAACACGGATATGACCTCGCGTGATTTTTAAAACTACGACATAAATGAATCAATCAGCCAGCTTGAAATAAATTAATTATTATATAAAAAGCATTTAATGTCTACTTTTTTATAATATTAGTATCAAAGATAGTTGTATAACTGTTTTTTTGATCGCGAAACTTTAGGTGTGTATAGATGAGCTTTGCCATTATTTTTTCCTAGTATACCTAGTTAGTGCAAAAGTATTTATGGTAGTTGGTATCGTAGACATGAGTCTGCTTCTATATCGAAGGTAATTGTAATGCATGATCGTTAGTCCCATTTCCGTGATAATAATATTGCCTCGTCATACCTCGAGAACCTTCGGAGCCGCTGTGGTGCATCGGCTCTTATGCATTATACAGATGTGCATAAGCAGTCTCGTGCACGCGAGGTACTTGTACATAGAAGCTGACGACAGCTTTTGTTACTGTTGAAAATAAATTTGCTTTTTCAATGGAACATCACGAGCAGCCATCGAGAATGAGATACAAAATTAAGAGAACGAAACATTAAGAGCTCAATATATAATAATACGAAACTTATTTTTTGCATAACGGTGTATATGTTATACAAAATAAATATATGGATATTAAGTAATAATATAACTAAAATAAAATTCATAAAAACTAAAAATTTATTATAAAAATATATGCTAAACCTTTATGACTTTCTATTCAACAAATCAAAAAATTTTACAAACGAGATAGGAAATAAATAAAGCAAATCGAAATAAAACAGTTAAATTGGCACAGACAGAAATAATACAGTGGACTTTTATTTACATAATATAATTGAATATTTTGGATTAATAACAAATTCTCTAGCGTATTTTATGCTTGCATCGAATTGCAATGGCTTCATTGACAAAACATCAATCTTTTGGTTATTAATTTGGAAGAAATTTCTTTTGTTTCTTGCTTTCTCGTTTCTACCTTTCTAATTAAACGAGCATATTCTTAATAATTAATAATTACGTCTATGCGCAATCATGTCTGACATCAGTCAGAAGGCAGAGATCACGAAGCTAGATTATCATAATCAAGCGTCATTTTCATGATAATGCTTCTCTCAGAAGAGAGAGAAAAAAAAGAAAGAAAACGAAAGAGACAAAAAACAGTTTCATTTTGAGTCTGGGATGTTATGCATTATAGAGACGTGTATAGATAATACGAAATACGTAGAAATATCCAACGCGTGTTTTTTGTTAATGTGTAATGGATAAACTCTAGTAGAATGTAATGGAACGAGGAGAAATGCAGTTAATGAAGATGCAAGCGGAATTCCCAAGGAAGTTTCATAATATTACATTATTCGCCTAAGGCAATTTCGATTAGCAGAAAATTGGATTGTAATCAGATTTAGAATTTCAATATTTACAAACCATGAGATAAAATAAATTCATTCAAATTTATTTAAAGAATGAAATCTATCATTTTGAGAAAGTAAAATCGATTATTTTATTATAAACCTACAGATGAAGTATAAACCTTTCTTCGAAATACAGGTCTCGCGAAACTTATAGGGATTTCTACATTATACGATATCATTTCATTATACGATTATCATTTAAGGATCTCGAGTTTTCAAGACTTCTATTTGAGAAAGATTCGTAGATATAAATTTTATATCTTTTGAAATAACTATACCTGTCGACCTCGCAGAGCGCACAACCACCATCCTTCAAGACCAGCAGTATTCTGTTCCAGTACGGTGAGAACGTCGCCTTTTCGAAAAGCCAGCTCGTCAGGCGCCTCGGCGATATTGTCGTACAGAGCTCGTGCTTTTACGCATTTTTGCTGCAACATAAAAAGAAAAAACGGTGTGAACACAAATAATGTAAAAACAACAAACTGACAGAAAGGAAGTCGCTAAGTGAGATAAAATGGAGAGATTTTAAAATCTCCAATATTGAACTCTTATCATTCGCCTGTTAATAAATTGATATTTCTAATTTCTTATTAGTGATTCGTCTTTGCAAAACAACGCTTTACCGAAGAATCGATTCTCGCAATATCTACCAAGAAACACACAAAAATCAACAAAAAATCAGAATTACTTAATTTTTACTCTTAACGTCATTAAACATTAAATTTTATGAAGAATTTTATCAAGAATCATCATTTTGATTTTCATTTTGATTTGATGCCAAAATAAAATAAAATCATTTGGATTTTCTCTTGACTTGGTCAAAGGTGTTTCCTTAGATTAGTGTTCGCGTAAACGAATTCATGGACATCCCGTGTCTCTGACTCGACACTTTTGACAGCACCGGATGTGCGATACCGTATTGCGGGCAGATGGTACGTCGTCGTATCGGTGCCGCAGAAGCAATTGGTTTCATTCAAAAAGTCAACGAGCTGGTGGTTTCCATGCGCGCGCCAATTGGGCTATTGGACTTGCAGTAAAACGGCAGCAGCAGTTCGCAGCCTCGGGAGTATGCGCCCTTCAGTCAATTTAAATCCATAAAATCCTAGTACCACATCCCTCTCCGCTCTCGTCCATCTGCCGCGTCTATTTCGAGAGACGGCGGCAATCTCGTCTGTTGTTCCGCCACCGAGAAGAGACGTAACGATCACTTAAACGGTGATCCCGTCCTCGAAGTGCAGCGCGCGATAGACGCGTTTTACGAGGAAGCTGCGGCGAGATCTGTCCGTCATTCTCCTCCCTCTCAAGCGAGCTCAATTGAAGCGCCTTGAACGACCGTTTCGTCTTTCCTTCTCGTATCTCTTTGAGCTCTTTTTCTCTTCCACTAGCCCATAGGCAAACGATGATGTCATATACGCGATCTTCGGCGAAGTTCCGGCGCAGACGACGTCGCCGCGGAATTAACGCGTCGCTACGATCATTAACACGGGTGCTTCTATTAAATGTAATTGCCTGCACTTCCATGAACACCGCGTGGAAAATCGAGCCCTGCGGTAGCGATAATTCGTTCTAACGCGGTACATTTAAGGGAGATATATTCGTATTCGGAGAGAAATTCTAGAGAGAGAAAGGAAGTAATTTGTGTAATTGACTAAATATAGCAATTAAAAGGGAGAAATAGTTAAAGAATAAAAAGGAAAAGTTTGATATAATAATGATTATATAATAGAAGCAAAAAGGTAGAACTTAACTTTCCTGAATGAAATAAAGTAAATTTTAGTCTGCTAATAATAAATAGATAATTTATTCACAACGAAATTCATTCTTAACAAAGTTTTTCCTGTTCTAATTATATTAATGGTTTTGCTTCGATAATTAATTTGTAGCAGGACAAGAAGAGAATAGTTAATCGGGAATTAAAACGGGAAAATGTATGGACGCGCGAGCGGATAAGTACTCTTCAAATAACATAAATGTTAATGGAGTTGAATTATAATTGCTTTTCTGAACGAGCACAAAAGTAACTTTTCGTCGCGATCCGTTATAGCTCTGTTAAATTAATAATACTTCAATTATATACATTATGGAATTCTATTTCATGACATACATGTAATATATTCTGTTCTATCTTTGTTCTCTTTTCTTCTTATAGTTAGCTCTTTAATATGGAATCGCTACTACTTTGACGAACGTGATAAAAGCTTTTTACTCCTGCATTACCATCGCACAATGATATAGCATCTTACTGCGCCGCAAAACGTTTCAATTTTGCATGTAACATGACTCGGATATGTGTAATCTAGTAAATATGCATAATATATCAGTGCTACAAATAGCAATTTAATTTTCTATTCAAAGAGTCTCTTAATAAATTAAATATTTATTAATTTATCAATAATTTTTAGATATATATATGTATATATATATATAATATATCTATTAATATAAAAAGATATTTACTAGTAAAAATTAGCAATTTTATATTTAAGGTGCGCATTTATTTGCAATAAAA